CCCGTATTCAAGGTAATTTTATGGCTTTGCTGCCCCCTCGGAAGAGATGAAATTTGCGCTCATTTTTATCAAAACAATCACACCAAAATCAGAGATGTCCCATTTTTTAATTAATCGATTAACAACTAATCGATTATTTTTTGTTCGCTGTGCTGCTATTTTTCCACCAATGAGAGTGCAGCACATGTTTGAAACGATCGGTGATGATCCTGTGGAGATGTTAATGCTTATATCGGCACGATAAAACCGATTACAAATATTTTACTTTTCGGTTCGTTAATCGATTAATCAATTATTCGAATGAAAATCGGCCATCACTAGATGAATGTGAAACGTCATTTCAAATATAAGGACCGTACATAAATAATGATACAATTTGAAAGGGACCGGGGCTAATCACAAATTACGTCTCCACGGTAACTGAAATAAACACGAGTGTTCACCGGTTGGCCTAGTGGAGTACAGATTGAAATCCGCAATTAATCCTCATTTAAAATTCAGAAAAATGTGGTAAGATTTGAACACTGCTTACCCTGCATCCATTCTTCCAGGAGTTCGAAAAGCCTCCGGGGGGAAGTGGTTGGAACATAACTTTTTCGTTGCAAGCGCTTGGACTTCACGTGAGAAGAAAATCTCCTGTAGTTCGGGAGATTGGTTATAAACAAATAATGTTTTGCTCACAAAATTTTTGACATTTATGTTAAGAAGACGTCTGCCGGTCATCGATGTCGAAGGTCAGCGACACTAGCGCCACCACGATATTGCTAGTTTCAAATGTCTATTCAAAACAGCAGTTAAATTTCTTACACACTTTAGGAATTTGACTGCCTGTTATCTGTGCTATGATCCTGCCGATCGATAGTATGCCGCTAACGGAAACGTTTGAGAACACTGTACACGGTCGATTTAGCCAATTTCAACGACTTCGCAATTTTTGAACCTGACCACGTCGGATTTTCCAAGTGGGTGACCAAAATTAATTTTCGATTTGCGGCTTCCATCAAATATAACTTCGTTGAATGAACTTTTCAGCACTGCTGTCAAAACATTCCAGATTCAACCGCTAGGAGCACTGCAGTAAAATAAACAATGCATCCACACGGTAAGAAAAAAGTACCCAACGGTCAGTTCACTTTTACCTACTTTTGACTAGTTTGTCTCCTTCTCTCCTCTAATGTTGTTAAAAACGGAGGAGCAAAACCACCCAACAGGGGTACTAAACTGTGGGAACTCAACGTTGAGTATAATCATATTTACCTACTTTTGGGTACAACTTCCTTACTTTTGAGTAGAAAGCTAGTGGAAAATTCCATTCGAATTGCACACAAGTAAATGAAAACTACTTTGGCCCGCTTTACCTACTTTTGGGTTCCTGCACTATAGTGCCGAGATGAGTGAAAAGAACTTACTTTTAGGTACTTTTTTCTTACCGTGCAGATGAAATGACTCAAGCTTTATAAACTGTTATAGAACATGTGTGTTGCTTGGACCTCCCTTAGCTCAGTCGGTAAAGGCGCAAGATCATGCTGGAGGTGGTGGGAGACGATTCCCGGTCCGATCTAGATTTTTTTTTCGTGTTGGAAAATTTCTCGACTTCCCTAGGCATAGAGTATGATCATAGAGGTAACTCTAAGACTAGAAGGTCCCGAAGAAACGTGCTCAACTTTTTGGCTCAGCTCTGGTACTCTCTTCGGTCCCAAGCTAATCGATTCACCCCTCGAAACATAGGAAAATCCACTAACCCCTTATTTTATCTGTCAAACTTTCATAGCGAATCAAAACAAACATTGCGTAGTACTAGAATTTCGACTAGAATGGGGTACGTTAATCGTTTGCTTGGGACCAATAGGCTAGTCAAGTAGTGAGCCAATTTAAAATCGATAGTTTCGTATTGATTGTTGGTATGATTGTACTTGCCACACAATTACAATATTGCAAAAATGGTAAAGCCATCGAAAGCTCACAATTAATAACTGTGAAAGTGCATGTAGGACACTAAGTTGAGAGCAGGCAATAAGCTAATATGCGAAAAGCAATAAGCTTGAAATGTGAAGAAGAATAATAATAATAAGTGTTGCTTGGGACCGGAACAAGCTTGCAGTTCCCTTGAAATTTCGTTGAAATCATCCACGGAATTAAAATCCCATGAAATTTTTCTCTGAAGTTCCTTGAAATGCTCCTCAGTAAGAAACGCGTTGGAACAATTCTCAGAATTTTCAGTGGTTTCATTTTAGATGACTCATTTGCAAAGTTTCCTAAGAATTCACTTGCAGTGAAGTAACAAATTGCAAAGATTTCTCATTAAAAGTTATTTGGTATTCAAGTCGGAACTCCTCTGGGATCTAGACTGGAATTATTTTCCGAGTGCCTCCGAAGATCTCCTGAAATTACGTTCAGCTTTAATTGTAATCATCCTGTTAGTATACTCCCGAAGTATTCTCCGAAAATTCCCATGGAATTATGTTCCGGATTTTTTTCTCCCTCGAACTTTTTGAAATCATCCTCAAAATTCCTTTGGAATTCCTATTTAAATTTCCTTTGAGTCCTCTTCAGAATTCCTTAGGAATTAGCTTCGGATATTCCTTTGAGTTTTCATTAAAATTTCTTTCGAATCCTATTCAGGGTTTACGTGGAATTCTCCTCAGAACTACCGTGGTATTCAGGTTTCTCATAGAATCTGGAGTTCCTCTGGACTACTTTGAAAGCAGATTGCACTTGATGTTTTCCTCTAAGGCATACAATCTCTGATCACGATGGACAGTAAAGCCGTTGGTCCCCGGTTCATGAGTTGATGGTTCGATAGGTAGGGTCTAGGTGTGGGAGCTGCCTCCCTGGCGTCGGTAGCATTGGTGCTCAGTACGGAAAAGAAGATCGACGGAAAACAAATCAAAGAAAAAAAAGATATTGTTTACATAGTTGAAGATGCTAATTTCAAATAACAGACTGTAGTGGTAATTTTTATACGATAGATGGAGTAGATGAAAGCATAGAGTTGATAGTTCCGTTAGAGTACGGCAGTGTGAAGATTGTATATAGATATTAGAATAGCGAACTAGGACAACTTTTAAGGAAGGTACAAATCGGTTTTTTTCATCTCTCTTTACCAAACTCCCCCTTTGGAGAGGGATGGTGAGGGGTGTCCCCCCCCCCCCCCCCCGCCACCACTGGCAAAAAGAGATGAAGACCGACCCGTTCAAGTACCAACTGTGTGTTTGAAACAGTTCTACCGATTTTTTCCGCACTTCAATTGTTATTTGAAGGAAGGCATCCAGTCGTAGGTTTGGAAATTGCAACTATTGTTTACCCCTACCACGATATGTGCTCCTGTCATCGTCGACTTGACGATCTCGAGGGGACACGGGTGGGGTAGGTGTTGCTACTGTACCTTTCGACCATTGACAGTAATTGATGGTATGCTCCCATCCAGAGTTATATAGTCAAAGTACATAACTCTGGATGGGAGCATACCATCAATTACTGTCAATGGTCGAAAGGTACAGTAGCAACACCTACCCCACCCGTGTCCCCTCGAGATCGTCAAGTCGACGATGACAGGAGCACATATCGTGGTAGGGGTAAACAATAGTTGCAATTTCCAAACCTACGACTGGATGCCTTTCTTCAAATAACAATTGAAGTGCGGAAAAAATCGGTAGAACTGTTTCAAACACACAGTTGGTACTTGAACGGGTCGGTCTTCATCTCTTTTTGCCAGTGGTGGCGGGGGGGACACCCCTCACCATCCCTCTCCAAAGGGGGAGTTTGGTAAAGAGAGATGAAAAAAACCGATTTGTACCTTCCTTAAAAGTTGTCCTAGTTCGCTATTCTAATATCTATATACAATCTTCACACTGCCGTACTCTAACGGAACTATCAACTCTATGCTTTCATCTACTCCATCTATCGTATAAAAATTACCACTACAGTCTGTTATTTGAAATTAGCATCTTCAACTATGTAAATCGTTGACTTCACGTAGAAGTAATACTAAAAACATATAGTCAAAGTAAGATATTGTTGTTATTATTGTTCAAATATAAAATTTACGACAAATTTATATATTCCAGAACCTTAAAAAACAATTGGACCACCGAGTAAGGGGGAACATATCGAGTTACAATCGTAAATTTCAGAAGTTTGTACTTGAAAAATGATAGTCTGCGTAAGAGAAAAAATCAAGTTCTAGGGAATATCGAGTTATGCTTTGTTGAGACAACAGTCTCTTCAAAGCTTCTTCTGAACAAACTGTTCAAAACCGTATTAGAGTAGAATCAGTGAACCTGTATAAGACATAGCTTTGTGCTTCGTAAACAACGATCTAAAATCTTTCTAAACATCATCAAATTAAACAAACACCTGGTGAAGTCATTTTTATGAATGAACACCGACGCCGACAAATAACGACCTTAGATTATTAACGTCATCTCTGATCGACGAATCGCTTTGGATGATACATGAACACACATTTGCAACACTCTACGCCTTACAAGAAACATCATAAATTCAATCCTCTTATTCTACCCCGAAACATAATTCCACGCAGAGTGCCACTTCGGTATAGGTTTATAGGTATGCAGGCCAAAAAATAAATAAATCCAAACCAGTGGCCGAGTGGCAGTCTGTTTTGATTAATATTGGCGCACGCCATTTTCCACACGGCTCTCGAGAAAAGTGATCTCCCGATCCCGTCACGGTTGGAAACGCGGTCCGCCGGGAAATTATTGCACACCCACCCAGTCGGGGATATTTGATCGGGTGCGTGCGATTAAGTACGGCCTAGGAAGGGGGAAGTTGGCCTTATAGCGCCACCATCTACCACCGGCAAGAAAATTTATTAACCGATACACAGTTTGAACGCTCTCTCAGAATGTTGCCGAATCGCATTCCTGGCGATTTGTTTCAAGATAGATGGGACTTTAACCGTTACGTTATGATTATCGCTTCTTCCGAAACATGATTATTACAGTGTGATTTTTTCTTTGTCCATTTATATCCAACAGGCAACCACATGCTTTGGCTGCAAAGAGGAGATCAAGGACAAGATGCTGGAGGCTCTGGACAAGTCCTGGCATCCGGAGCACTTTGCCTGCAAGGAGTGCAAGAAGCGCATCATCGAGAACAAATTCCATGAAAAAGACGGCCTCCCGGTTTGCTCCAAGTGCTTCGAGTCCAAGTTCCAGGCCATCTGTGCCGCCTGCCGGAAGATGGTCACCGAGGTAATTCACAAATACGCACATTTTCAAAAGTCATCCAGGTGTACGGGAAAATATGACAGAACGATTTGACACTAATTACTTCTTCAAATTCGACGTCGATGGAACGCGTCGTTGGACCGCAGGTTGGACCGACTTCACGGCAATGAAAGCGTGATTTCTACTTGCGAACCGTGTGCATCTTTTTCACGCTCCCCCGCCCCCGCAGCAAAGTGTCCCAGCAACGTGTAGGGGGGAAGAATCACCGGTTGGTCATTTCGCCGTAGTGATTCCAGAAATAGAACCCCACCACGATATATTCGTCGTAATACTGCTATTTTGAACGGCATCTACCTCCACTCGGATCGGCGTTTGGCTGCTTGGTAAATATTTATTAAGCCGGCAAACGGAGAGCAGCCATCCTCCACCCACCCTCGCAGGATGTTATTTTGTTGCTTGAGAAAGCACGCAATTTTTGGATACACTTTCTTCGCAGAAACCAAAGAGCCAAAGATTTTATGGAGTGTGTAAACAACGTGAAAATAATGATTGCCCTTGGGTGTTGATGCTCGTGTATTGTAATAAAAGTTGTTAAAATTGGTAAATGATCTAGACGGACGCCGACGAAAGGTTCATAACCTCATCACTCAGGCTGGCATGTGAACTGACATTCGATACCAACAGGTGCCTTTTATCCGAGCAGAATGATGGCATCCGTTCAACAAAAAAAATGGAGCATGTTACGGTTTTAATGTATCCAACTAATTTGAATGACGGCTGGCATCCGCTGTTCGAAAATTTCACTGAGCGCGGAAAACAACTCCGATGATTGTTTGAAATGAACGGAATATAAGTGAAAAAACAGAAGATTGTTCTAACCGGCTCGTACACAGTTGTTGTCTCAGCTCAATTGCATCTAATTAAAGTGACAATTGTGTTCATGATTTAAATAAATTCAGTCTTTTCTATTTCATTGTGTATTCGTTGGTACGGTGTATCGACTATTAAGTCAAGTTATTTTTTTGTTTTTTAGTTATTTTTTGAAAGAATATACTGAGAAGCAATGATGAGCAAGATTCATATAAATAAAATTATGATGGAACACTTCATTTTTCGCAAAGAAACTGAAGAAAATAAAGCGAATCATCACAAGTTGTAAAGGATCATATCGACATCGACAGTGAGCATGCATAAGGTCGTATATGCGATGATCGTTTCTCTTCATCGGTTTTCTCTTTACATTGCTACAGTTTTCTAGAATTTGTTAAATGCAGAATTGTAACAGGTTGTATTGGCTATCAAAAGCAACAGCAAACGCACCAAGAAACGTTAATTCTAGCGAGTTATTAACAAAAGAGAAAATCGACGAAGAGAATCGATCATCGCGTTTACGCCCTTATGCACGCTAACTGTCGATATTACAACTTCATTCTTTTTCTTTAGTTTCCTTACAATGGACAAATTGTTCCTTCATAATTTTATATTAATCTTATAGTTTGTCATGCATAGGAAGTACACATTTGAGTTATTGACAAAAGCAGTAGATAATAACAAAACCTTCACTGGCGTGCGCAGCCTTCTTCATTTGGGGAAGCCCACCTTCCAAAAGGGGGCCCTTCATAGCTTTGAGGGCGCCAATAATTTTGAAGAGTTAATGTTTACTTACTTACATTTTCCTTAAGATTTCCAGATTTTTACGATTTTCTTTGAAAAATTTCGAGGTTTAACGAAAACTTTTAAAAAAACTATTGTTTGTTAAACACATATCTTATTCAAAATTTAGTTTATAAAGTAAATAATTTAACACTGAGATGAAGTTCTCTGTAAAATAATTCATTCACTGAATTATGTTTTGAACTCCACCTCAAAGTACAAGAGATTTTAGATGCAGCTTTCAAACTTTCAATGCACCAAAAATTAAAAAAAAAATCGTCGCGTCAGATGGTTGATATATTTTAAGCTCGTGATTTTGAAAGAATTTCATAAATAATCCATTCGAATATTATTATTATTATTTTGAATCATAAAAACATCCCAAGTAACAATTTCCAGTTGAAGAAACGCTTTCGTTTTGATTTTGTTCAGCTGCAAGTTGAATAATAATTGCACAATGTGTTAACCACAACTTTTATAAAACCCTTGTTTACACTGGTTTGGAGAACCTATACAACTGCAACACAAAGGTGTTGTCTAACGTATTCAGGAAAACGTTTATCCAAAATCAATTTCTTGTTGAAGAAACGCTTCCATTGTGATTTTATTCAACTGCATGCTGAATAATAACTGTACAATTTGTTGATTACAACTTCTGTAAAACTCTTGTTTACACTGGTTTGGAGAACCTGTTCAACTACATCATTATATGTATACGCGGTATAGGAGTAGAAGCAACTTTTATACAACGTTTATAGATACATATTAAACTCAAGCTTTATTATTTTGGTGAAAGCTCTTATACAACGTTTGTAGACACTTCTTGACAGCTGCTTTGAAATTTAGTAGAGAGTAAACCTGAGAGGCGTTTGTTGCACTCTTTTATGACTCCTAAATAATCATTGTACAGCAAGCGGTGAAAAGCGTTTATAACACTTTTCAATGACTCCTTAACAACCGGATAGAAGCAACTTTTATACAACGTTTATAGATACATATTTAAACTCAAGCTTTATTATTTTGGTGAAAGCTCGTATACAACGTGTGTAGACACTTCTTGACAGCTGCTTTGAAATTTAGTAGAGAGTAAACCTGAGAGGCGTTTGTTGCACTCTTTTATGACTCCTAAATAATCATTGTACAGCAAGCGGTGAAAAGCGTTTATAGCACTTCTCAATGACTCCTTAACAACCGGATAGAAGCAACTTTTATACAACGTTTATAGATACATATTTAAAGTCAAGCTTTATTGGTTTGGTGAAAGCTCTAATACAACGTTTGTAGACACCTCCTAACAGCTGCTTCGATATGTATTAGAGATTGAACCTGAGAGGCGTTTGTTACACTCTTTTATGACTCCTAAATAATTACTATACAGCAAGCGGTGAAAAGCGTTTATAGCACTTTTTAATGACTCCTTAATAACCGTTGTGTAAGTACTCACAATATTCACAGATTAAAATTAGTTTAACAATTGTCGTGGTACGCCAAAATAATTGCTTGTACAGTTTTTATTAATTTAATTTATTTGTGCACTATGAAAAAATATGTAATTATGCCATAATTCACATTCTGTGATCATGGAGGAAGTAGTAACAAGCATCTGTTTAATCTTTGATTGATATTCTTTCAATTAATCTCTCTAATCATTAATTGAGAGAAATTATCTAGAAATGTTATCGTTGATTATATGATATATGTCTTAAATTAATGTTTGCATTTATTAATAACACATATATATAATTTACCTCTACTCCACCGAGGGTTTCTCGAAGCAAGATTCGAACTCATGATCCCGGATTGCCAGCCGCTTCTGTTTCCATCTGCTCTATTCTTGAATACATATTTTGATCATATGAGAGAAGTATATCAAGCTCATCTTGAGTAACTTCTCTTGCAGTCGAATAATCATTGCCTTATGGTTATATAAACATGCCTATCACTTGTGCTATTTTTAGCAACAAAATTGTGGTTGGTCGAACGTAAACAATCATTTAAGAGTGCTCCAAGCAGCTTTTGAAGCTTCTTACAAAAAAGGCAATACAACTACATTCTTGTTCAACTCTGGAAGCTATTATTCAACGTTTGATCAACTCAGGTGTTTTATAGGAGCTCCCAATGGTTTGTTTTGATGCGTTTATTCCACATCCTATATGGCTCCTGTCAAACAGTTTAACCGAACGTAAACAATCATTTAAGAGTGCTCCAAGCAGCTTTTGAAGCTTCTAACCAAAAAGGCAATACTACTACATTCTTGTTCAACTCTGGAAGCTATTATTCAACGTTTGATCAACTCAGGTGTTTTATAAGAGCTCCCAATGGTTTGTTTTGATCCGTTTATTCCACATCCCATATGGCTCCTGTCAAACAGTTTAACCGAACGTAAACAATCATTTAAGAGTGCTCCAAGCAGCTTTTGAAGCTTCTAACCAAAATAGCAATACAACTACATTCTTGTTCAACTCTGGAAGCTGTTATTCAACGTTTGATCAACTCAGGTGTTGTATAAGAGCTCCCAATGGTTTTTTTTATGCGTTTATTCCACATCCCATATGGCTCCTGTCAAACAGTTAAACCGAACGTAAACAATCATTTAAGAGTGCTCCAAGCAGCTTTTGAAGCTTCTAACCAAAAAGGCAATACAACTACATTCTTGTTCAACTCTGGAAGCTATTGTTCAACGTTTGATCAACTCAGGTGTTTTATAAGAGCTCCCAATGGTTTGTTTTGATCCGTTTATTCCACATCCCATATGGCTCCTGTTAAACAGTTTAACCGAACGTAAACAATCATTTAAGAGTGCTCCAAGCAGCTTTTGAAGCTTCTAACCAAAAAGGCAATACAACTACATTCTTGTTCAACTCTGGAAGCTATTATTCAACGTTTGATCAACTCAGGTGTTTTATAAGAGCTCCCAATGGTTTGTTTAACCGAACGTAAACAATCATTTAAGAGTGCTCCAAGCAGCTTTTGAAGCTTCTAACCAAAAAGGCAATACAACTACATTCTTGTTCAACTCTGGAAGCTATTATTCAACGTTTGATCAACTCAGGTGTTTTATAAGAGCTCCCAATGGTTTGTTTTGATGCGTTTATTCCACATCCTATATGGCTCCTGTCAATCATTTAAGAGTGCTCCAAGCAGCTTTTGAAGCTTCTAACCAAAAAGGCAATACTACTACATTCTTGTTCAACTCTGGAAGCTATTATTCAACGTTTGATCAACTCAGGTGTTGTATAAGAGCTCCCAATGGTTTGTTTTGATGCGTTTATTGCACATCCTATATGGCTCCTGTCAAACAGTTTAACCGAACGTAAACAATCATTTAAGAGTGCTCCAAGCAGCTTTTGAAGCTTCTAACCAAAAAGGCA